TGAAAATTTAGTTTCAGAAGGTGGGACGTTAAGAACAAAGGGAAAATTGTATTTTCTAGAAAATAGAAATTGTTCCTGATTTGGTCATTTTTCTTCAGAAAAGTTATGTTCCCTTAAAGGAAAGGCAGCATTGTTACATTAGTAACACACTTTAGAAAGTGCTTTTTCTCAGATCTGGGGAACTTTGGAGACTTTTTTTCCTCGATGGCAGTTTTTAGAAGGGCACACATCAAAACCAGAAGGATTTGCGTCTTTCTGTGGTGTTAAAATGATTTTATTTTACATAAACAAGTGAGCACATTGGGTGAGAAGTGAGCACATTGTTGTTTAAGCACCCTAGCATTAGTTGAACTCAGCAGATGGGCAAGTTATAACTAGGTTAGATTTGACATGTAGAAAGCATGCTCCTGAGGTTTTACATGAAAAGCACCATGGGCTGTTTTAGTGAGGTGATGAAAGTCAGTTTAAGGTATAAGTTTTTTAATGCTAGCTGTGCATGCCTTCAATCCCAGCACTTGGGAGACAGAGTCAGGTGGATCATATGGGGCCAGCCTGGTCTACATAGAGTTCCAGGCCAGCTGGAGCTGTATAGTGAGATCCTGTCTCAAAAACAAGCCCCCAAAACAAACAGCCCCCCAAAGAATTTTTTATATTGAAAACAGCACTACACTTAGCCTCCTTTCTTTCTCTGTGGTGTCCTCCAACAGCTTTTGTTCAAGTCTTGAGGGGAGTTCACGGAGGTACGACCCGTGCTTTGATGTACCCATTACGTAAGCCTTCTGCTTCCAGGTGAAGGTTTGGATGAGCAACAGGGTATTATTGTTCACAGCGTTTGGCAGGAGGGCATGGAAAGGAGACAGTGAACGGTGTTGGATCCCAAAACTCGCAGATGAGCTGTGTGCTGTCCTTTTTTAAAAAATTTTATTTATTATTTTTACTTTATGTATATGCATGTATTGCCTGTGTGTAGGTAAGTGCACCCGTGTCGTGCAATGCCTGTGGAGGTCAGAAGAGGCTGTCAGATCCCCTGGGACTGGAGTTACGGACAGTTGCTAGCTGCCATGTAGGTGCTGGGATTCGAACCTGGGTCTTCTGCAAGATCAACCAGTGCTCTTAACTGCTGAGCCATCTCTCCAGCCCCATGGTCTGTGTCCTTAAGAAGGTGAATCTCATGGAGAGAAATTGCCCCCTTCTCCAGAAATTAGAACATAAAATTGATGCCGAAGCCAAGCATGGAGGGATCAAATCCTACCAGACCAGCTGTAGAAGGGCTTGGGGGAGGAAAAGCCTTTGTGCACATTGGGGTGATGGAGTCGTGTGGTAAAGTATATAATGCTGTTTGTGGCTACATTCCTCCTTACACTCTTAGTTACCTATGGTGTTGTTACCATTCCACTTTGCTGATGGAGTGAATGAGGTGCGGAGGTCAGATAGCCAGTAAGTGGCAGAGTCAGCTTGGACCAGTGTTTGCCATTCCTGATTTCTCCCCATTCAGGATGATCTTTCTCAGGTCTGTCATCTCAAATAATTGATTTGGGAAAATGCGTTCCTCTGGCATCTAAATTTTGGGATCAGTTTCCTGAAAAGTTTCAAAATGATGAAACGTAGGTAAATAAGTTATTTTGGGCATGTATAAATTTTTTTAGTCCACTTTTGAAAGTTGCCTTCCATTGCCAAATGTAACAGTTACATGGGACTTTTGATAATTTTGACTTACAGCCTTTCAAGACCCAGGTGGATTCAAAACGAGAAATTATGACTATATTTACTGCTTTGCCTAATGGAACATTTGAATCGTATATTTTGTCTTGTGTTTTTAAAAGCCACGTGGGATTACATATTTTTTTGGATTGAATTATGAAGTTGAAATTGCATTGATGAATGCCAGTCTCTGCCCTTTCAGTTCTGATTTCCATAAGTAGCTGTTCTGATGATGTCTGAAGCAAAATTCTGAATAGAGTGTTGTTCATGGATAAAATTAGAGTTCAGCCACTAATACTTAATGCTGACGAGACTTCGAAGATTCTCCAGGACTGGGAAGTGAAAGGTGGTTTATTTGGGCACTGTGCACACTTCATACAGGCCTGCTGGATATGTGGTTGTTGACAGAATGGTGTGGCTGATTTTACTTGTGAGGCTTCAGGTTTAGTATTTGTTACTGGCTAACTAAAAATCTGAACCATGGTAAAGTCAGTGAACGTAAATGGTGTACTGGGGGAAGGTGGTGAGGCGCCTGCCTGCCCTTACCTAGCCGTCCACCCCCAGCTGACTGTACTTACAAGGAGAGCTCCAAGGCTGGTGAAGTGGCATGGAAAGTGTTCTTTTAGTGGGAGGGGTAGGTTCTAGAACCTCCCCATCCCTGTAGATAGTTCATGGTTGATGAACTTGAACCGGGAAGGTAAAACTGTCAGTATCGAAAGCCTAAGATCAGACAAAGATGGCAAAAGCCAGTTGCGAGCCCGCCCCAGTGAACAGTGCCCGGCAGCGCTGCTTCCACTTGCCCTTCCGACTTACGGCGTCTTTCAGATCTTCAGCGCAGTTTCACAGAGATGCTTTTAAGTCAGCTTAACTAGTTATTTATTTGTG